CAGCTCTCAAAAAAATTAGACAACATCACATTATTAGCTTGTTTGAGAGTGATTTTTTCCTCCCAAAAAATTGATTTTTTAACGACTATTTCACTACTCCAGCCGTCATATTTCACGTTTTCTCTTACAGGTGGATCTCACTTTTCTCCTAACGGTCAAAAAATTAATTCTCAAAATCACTCCCAAACATGCTCTATAAAAGATTATTTTATTTTGACATCCTTTGATCTAATAAAGTTAAAATAAATAATTTTAGACATTAGTAAAACTATAATACTTTTGAATTTTTTCGAAAGTTCTGTGTGTTTAGTTCTCCGTACTTTCTTCATCATAGTCTTTTTCTAAATTATTTTCAAAAAATTCAAAATTTAAAACGTATATTAAAATAATGCCATTATAAAAATCTGATGAGGTACATTATTGTCTAAGTCATCAATCTCTGCGCAACTATATAGTTTCCCATGTACCAAATTATTAAACAACATGCCAACTTATAAAATTTCGGTACCATAATGTCATGCACGTGAACATGACTTGGACTCAATAAACTAATAGTATTCAGAGGCACCATATAGGTATCCCAGTTTGTACTTAGTATATTACAAATTTATGATCTGCCATTCTCTGATGATTTTCCATGCCCAATAATTTATTGTTTTTAAAAATTCTTCAATCTTCTGCTGTTGATGACAAGTACAAAACCAATTACATCTCTAATTAGTAATTAATGGTATCTTATAAGAGATTATCGGGATACTTACTTATTAGTAAATTATTTATCAAGTTCAAGAATTTGTAATGTATTTCATATAGATAACACTATTCTAATGTATGTCATATAGATAACACCGTTCTTAATAGAACGCGAATTTTGATATATACATATCTGTTCCGACCAAATTGGGAATGGATTGAGGTTATGAACTTATAATCTGATTATCGAGTTGATTTAGTCAAATTGCATCTCCAAGTTGGACAAATTCTTCATTGACACAAAAAATAAAAATAAAAATAAAAATAAAAATGAAGGATCTGAACTGCCATCTCCTTACTGAATACTTTTTCAAATATAAAAATGAGTAATAAGATTGATATTGGACATGAAATAGATAAATAAACCCATTGAAGTTTGACAAATTTAAATTACATTTTTCCAAATAAATGGTCTCAATTCTCAATAGTTTATCAATGAAATGTACTGTATTCAAAATCATTTAGTTAATTTCTTTGTTTTTTCAGTTTAATTATAATTATAAACTTTAGACGGAAAATTATTCCTCATTAGTGTGTATTTTTATAACACATGCTGATGTATTCGTGACTTTTCAAGATGTTAACAACTAACTTTGCATTCGTTTTATGAGAAGTGACAACCTGTGTTAACATCAGTAATTGTATTCTCTAATTGGGAGTTTTAATCCTAACACTTTACAATTTGTCATTTTGAGAAAAAAAAAATAATTGCATTTTAATTTTCTTTCGTTGATCATTAGAATCGACATATACACAAGTTGAACATTATTTTACGAAAATCTCTGCTAATTCAAATAGAAAAGGGATAATTGTAGTCACGGTTCCAAATATTTCAAATGTTTGTAGCTTTTATTCTAACCTTTTATTTATTGTACCCATGGTCCCAAACCTTTCATTCTCATGCTACGGAAGGACATATGGATGGGTTTTCGACCATACATCTGTTAGTTGACCAAAGAATTAACTTTGATTGCATATTTAACAATTTCAAGAGCGCAAAATAGTAATTTTTTTTATATATATTTTCATATAAAAATATTAAATTAATTAAATCAAAGATAAAAAAAAAATATTAAAAGAGAAAGGAAACAATAAAACTAAAGTCTTCTTCCTTACATCCTGCCCCAAAAATTTAAAACCAGAAAACCCACCAACCATTGGCCACCAACACCCACCCACACGGCGCCACACCGTTCACCGCCACCATTGCCATCGTCATAGCAAACAATTACCGCACTTAAATTTGAAACAACAAAATAAACAATCACTCAATTTGAAAACCACAATCTCATTCAATTTGAAAATTATAATCTCACACCGTTTGAAAACCACAATCTCAAACACATACCATGAAATATGTGGTCAAAGTTATGAAATGTTAGTGTAAAAATTACAAATATTTAAAAAAATTGGGATCGTAACTACAATTATCCCAATAAAAAATACAACGTCATTTACAATAATATACTTAAATATTTGGAATGGACATCAATGAGGATAAACCGAAGTAATTTAAGTAATTGATCAACGGTATCTTTAGACATGAAGAGATATTTGCGTATGAGACAGCTACGGGCTCATAATTATAAGAAAAAGGTATAGACAAAATATTTGACACATAATACAAAAATTCAGTTTTTTATTTTTCTTTTTAATCTTCGGTCGATTTAATGAAGAGATACTAAATCGACCGAAGAGAGGTATAAATTAAGTAGTTATTTTCAATACACAAAATAACTAGACATATAATGAAAATTCATGCTAAAATCATTATAAACCACTTTAATATTGATCATGTGATTAAATATGAAAGCTGTGTAAAAGCACCAATCGGTTGTCGTTGAATTTGGCACATGGGATATAGAGGAATGACATAAAGTTTATGCAATGCCTGAAATCCATAAGACATGCATTCAATCATTGGAAATATTTAATCGGAGTTTAGCCTTTTGGGGAATCCAATGGTCTCTTAAGGAGGTGGTGAGACAGATCATCATGCAGTGGAATTATAATTAACAAAAGTTGGGGTGGCATAATAGTTACTAATGAGATGACTTTAAATTTATAAGGGGGTTGAGATTTTTCATTGAAAAAAGTTATACTCGAGATTAAGTTATGATGATGCTCGAGATAAAATTTGAACATGTACAGAAATTCGAATGAAAGTTTGTGCATCATTTAATCGTGATGATAAAAGATTTGTGATGGTGAACTCTCGAAGTGATCGAGAAATACGCTACTGAATAGAGTATGTAATCTTCGTTTAATCAAGAAGATGGATGAAAAATGTCATCATTTGATAGGCTGTGATGATTATATTTTTCTGCCATGAACAACTTTGCTGCATCACAGCCTAGCTAGCTTAATTTAATATGGACTGATGAAGCTTTGACTTGCAAAATGTGAATAAAAGAAAGACAAGGGGACAAGTAAATCAGTTGAACTGGACAACTAAAATTCCAAGTAATACTATAAAGTGGATTCATTTTAGTTTAGTGTTTGGGGAATGAATGGCAGTGTCATATGGGTAATGTCATGTGCGAAGTCCATGTGATCCTTAATTGAGCTCTACAAGTGCTTTGTGGTCCCACTTCATTAAACATCAACATTTCCTGGGCCTCAATGCATGGGTTCGGGCTTCTGCTTTTTCTTCTGTTTTTGGGTAAATAATATCTTAGGTTAGCTTTTTGTGAAAACTTTTTGAACTAGACAAAATATATTCTAAAAATTATCAGAACATATTCAAAAGAGATGAGCGAATAACATCCCGGAAAGGCTGGACCGATTTTGCTACTATATCGATTGGGTGGAGTTGTATCATAGAGCATCTTGACTTTTTGAAATCAGATCATAGATCGATTTTATTGAGGACTATTCAATCGGTATAGAATGTTCATGGTCAGGACGGGGTAGACAATTTCGGTTAAAAAAGAAGAATTATGAGCAGGAGGGACTGTATATTGATCGCGTGCATGCATCTAGTTTTAACTCTTTCCAACCATTACGAAGTGTGCTTTAGAAGACTTCAGTGTTCATGTTCATGTTCATGTTCAGGGTCTAAGGATGGCCAAAAAAAAAAATAAAAATAAATAAAAATAATCATTATATTTGACACTTGCGAGCCTCACGCCAAAATGGGTGGGAATTCCTAGCTTAATTGGGTACACGGGGACAGAGTGAGTGTGGGTACAGGGAACATGGTCCTCATCTCGTTTAAAATTCATTTCAAAATACAAGTTATTTAAAACATTAAAAGAAAAGATGATCATTATTTTTAAAGGAAACATGAATTTTTCTACAGTATGAAAAAAAGTAATTATTTTCACCAATTAAAAACATTAAAAAAATAAAAGAAATTTTTTCAAAAATAAATGGGGTGCAAAAAACTGGGCACGGACCCCCTCCCACCCCCACCTCGAACCCATCTCACCTTGACCAATTAGGAGGGAAGGATAAGGAGAAAAAAATTCAATGGAATCGGCGATGGGAATGACAGTCTCAATTTCGATTCGTCCCGTTGCCATTCCTATCAAAGTCTAGTGCATATCGATTTTGGAGGTTGAGGATGGATTTAGAGAAGAAGAGGAAACCTTCGTGACCATGCATCTGAAATTAATGCCTTAGAAAGGGAAATAGAAGTATTGGTAGAATTTGAAACAAAGGTTTATTGGTTTCCGAGAAAGGTTTAGAAAAAAAAGTATCATTTTAGGAAAAAACTTTTTGTAGATTATGGTTTACAGCTCCTCACATGTTGAGAGGACTCACATGAATAAAATATTTGTGGGCCCCTCATTGTGAGGGGACTGTAAGGGTGTAAAGTTTTGTACACCAAGTCTGATCCATCATTTACACGGATGTATGTATCTAGTACATTCAACCAGACGTATGCAGTAAATTATTTCATTTTTTTATTAGTAAATTGGCTAATCATAATCTGTCGTAGATATAATTAAGAAGTCAAATTCATTTGGATCAGTAATCAAATTCTTCTAATCAATTAAGTGGCAACCATTACGCACCCTAAAAATATGCAGAAACAATTTTTAATGCATTAATGAAATTTGTAGTTGACACCCTTGAAAACCGAGCAATTGATTGATATCATGAAGATCAACAGGAAATACAACTCCAATCTATGATAAAGTGACAAAAGATTTATCTGAATATAATTTCATCACTGATTATAATACATCAGAATTATATGATTATTGATGAACAAATTATTATGTTAAACAAATAAGAGGTCATAAAAAACAAAAGGATCGATTTTTAAATTTTAAATGAAACTATGACTGGCTAGCTTATCGAGTCCAGATTTCGCTTATAATCAGACTCAAGATTCAGTTACAAGTTAATGATAACAAGAAGAATCAAGAAAATTAACAGAACAACTTCCAAAATATAGGGATGCATTCGACTCCTATCAGCATGTTCTTGATTTTGGAACTTGATTATTGTGCATATTTATTTTCTTAATATTTCTATGTGAAATGTTGTCTTCTTCTTCTTGAGGGATTTATGCATCATTTTGAGCTTGAATTCCTGTCTACTTGAGACGCGAGTATGGCATCAATGGCTTCTTTAACCTGAGAGAGCTCAGGAGCTTTTCCCCCTTGCGCTGGCCAAAAGTCATCAGTTGCCAGTACCTGTAAAAATCCAACTAAAAATGTGAGAAAAAGAAATTTTCAATCATACTTCCATTGGCATACAGTAATGGACATGGACATGGACATGGAATGTATACTAAACAATATTTTAGTTTCTATTTCTTGTTTAATGCAGTTCAATCCATTTTGAAAAACATGCTACGGAGTTTTTAGATTTCAGGGCTTTGATAGGAAGAAAACTGGCTGTACAACTAACCTTCACTTGCAATTGGAGAAACTTGACATAACTGATTGCTTTTTCCAGCATAGTTACCAAATCAACCTGCAGAAGAAAATTAGGGGAGAAAGATAAATATTTTGAGAAATTTTGGATAAATCAACAACATTTAAGTGTACATAAAATATTTACATGAAGAAGAATGGATTACCTTGGAGCCATTGGGGACAAGATCTTGGAGTGTCTTAAGCCGCTCACTGATCCGCTCTCTTCGATTCTAAGCTACAAACATTCTTGTTGTTAGCCGTCAATTCCCTTTTTGATCTTGCTTGATTTGCAAATAACTTACAATCCAAACAAAATAAGATTAAGTACTTAAAAAAGAAGCAAACCTTTGCTGCAATACTTTGTGGATCCTTCGCAGGTGTTGAGTTTGGTTTGGGTTTATTCTTTGAACCAACACTGCATTGCTTCTTATGAGCCTGCGTATTCTCTCCCTGTAAAAAGTAATGCTCATAATGTTATGCATGCAACCCTATAATTTGAAGAACTTGCAGTTGAAGTTCAGATATTACCGTAATTTGGCGTTTACTAGAGCCTGTTTCTTGTCTAGCATTCTCTTGAATGCCATTAGTATGTGTATTTGGCTCAGGATTTAGCCACCCAAATTGCCCTCCAATTCCCGGGGAGCCGTAGGCGCCAAGTGTTTCCAATAGGCTGTGAGCGGTGCTGCTGCACTTGGGATTCAGCTGATTCTGATAATTATGGTGCAAATTGTCTTCCCAGACTGAATAATCATCTTGCTGATTAATCATTTTCAACTCTTTACTTTGCTCAAAAATAAGCAATGATCCACCTGTTTGCATAAAATTACCATACTCAGGTTCGAAGCTAATCACAGAACGAGCTTCTTCAGGCAGATATGGTGTCACTTTGTACCCTAATCCATTAGAATTCGAGCTGCTCGGACTGGATACCGAAGAAGAATTACTCATGGTGAAATTCTTCGCAAAAACACCAGCTTTTTCATTTTCTCGAAACGCGGTTTTTTGGGGCTCATCCATTCCATGAAGTTCGCCGGAAGGATCCATGGAAGCATGAAATGATGATCCTCCAAAATTATTTCCATAAAATGCTTTGGCTTGAACTGAGTTCAAAGTTGAACCATTAGGCATAGGGTCCTTGGCCAGTGCCATTGAGTAAGAACAGACCAGAACACAAATACTAGCAGAGGTTTTCAGATTTTGAAGATGGACTATATTAGCAGTGAGGATTAGCTCGTGTATATTCGTGTTCTCTTAAGGAAAACAAGAAATGTGAACAAAGTATATATAGGCAATGAAATTGGAATGTGTTGATCCACGTCGAAGACATAATATAAATGAATAAGTCTGTCATTTGTACACAACTTAAGGTTTAATTAGACGAGGTACCTTGATATAGTACTAGAATATGAAAAAGGCTTATCGGTTCTAATCTTGTTGCCATCTATATATTTACTAACATCGTGCATATGTTTATATTTTGGATGAAAAAATAAATCCCACCTACACGTATATTTTAAAATAAAAATTTGCCTAGTCTTTAATAACTTAAACTTATAAATAAAACGGTTCAACAATACGAGCAATTGGCATACTAAACCTACTCCGGTAATATGCATGTTAGATTAGGTTATTTAGAAATTTAAGATGTTAGAACGAGGCAAATTTGTTTACTCATGCGTTTGGTATAGATTAAAAACAGATTTTCAGTAGATATTGACAAACGCATGATGGAAAAGTTGTTAGTCCATAAAATTTGTTGTTAAAATTAGTTGTTGATTTTCACTTTGAAATTTTTATTAACTTTTAATCTTTACCAAACATGAGCTAAATTTAGTCTTTATGGGGTTTGTTTAATGATTTATGGGGATTGATAGCTGGCAAAATTTTAGTAAATGGAAGAAGAGAAAAGAGTAGTGTAATCAGATAAAAGAAGGGAAATCAGCAAAACCTTCGGCGGTTCTTTCGCCAATGCACGTCGTCTCAGATTCCTCACCATGTATGTATCTTTATACAGTGAGTTTGAAGAGGGGTCCTTCTTACCGAGTTTCGTGGAAACTTAAGAATCCATAAGCACGTGAATTCTATTCTTTCTAATTTTAATATCATATCTTACATTCCATTGATCTATATCCAAGTCATAAATAACAGGAGAAAAACTTCCAGACGGGATTGGGCATTATGAAGAGATTACCACCTACATCTTCAACAACATGAAATTTGCATTGGATTAACCTATATATACGTACTATACGAGTTATGTAGATGGATACGAGACACTGATATGAACATGCTGATACAAGTTTTCGAGAAATTAAGACATATGTGACATTGTTGGACACGTGTTTCACGATGTTCGAAGAATGCCAAATTTTAACATTGTTCTACGAGGAGTATTCATGCTTCATGCTTTGATGCAATGTAAGGTGTTTGTTTGAGAGAGATTATTTGGAGTGCAAAATGGATTTTTTTTTTCTTGAGGATGTTTGGCTAAGAAAATGAAAAATTTATGAATTTACATGTAAAATTATTTTGTTGATAAAATATATTATTAAAAATGAGTTTGAGAAAAAATAATTTTTACCAAACAAACACTTAATTAGGGCGTGTATGGGAGTTTCGAGGTATCAATTATGAGCATTTCTTAAAGTATTGATTTTGAGTGTTTATGAGCAAATTAATTTTAAGTGATTTTAGTTAGGTCTGGACGCGATTTAGTATGGATCGATTTCGACTCCAACTCAAAGTCAAAATCAAATTAGTCAATTTGGGTGAATTTCAACCCAAACCAACTTATTATAACTCTTAAACTGAAAAAAAAAAAAAAAAAATTGGTTGGGTTTGGTTCGATTCAATTTGTTAGTTGGTTCAGACTTTTAGTCCAAATTGAAATATTTTTTTTCAAAAAATATTGGAGTTTTGAACTCACTTAGATTACAAAAACTAAAATAAATAAATATTTTATATTACAAGAACTATTAACTAACAAATAAAATCATGTTAATAGAGACAGATCGACAGAAAACTTAATAATTTTGTTGTTTTCTTATGCATTATGTAGTTCGACTGCCTGAGTAGGAAAAAAAACTAAGTATAATATAATGAGCTTTTGAAAAAAGAATTTAAGTGCTATTACTTACTGATAACATTGTAGATTAGAGATAATCGAGATATAGTTATGAGATTATAACTTATCTTTTTATTTTTATTTTTCTTCAAAAAAAAAAATAAACATGTAAGTGGATTGAGTCGGTTTGATTAATTATCGATTTGAAATTTCAAAACATGACTAAACCGATCCATCAAGATTTTATTTTTAAAAAAATCAACCAAACCAATTACCATTGTCAAATCGACCCAAACCGACTCGACTCGACTCGGTTTGGTTCGATTGGTTTTTCAATTTTTTTGCCCAAGTCTAATTTTAGTAGCGATTTTTGAAATAGTCCAACCCAACGTAAGAGTATATCATCCATTGTTTCTAAATTTTTTTTAAACGAATAAAATTACATATATGTCCCTTAATTGAATTTTCAGTTTATATCTTTTTGTATGAACTTTTTTTTTTTTTTTGCACATTAATGATATTTTACTTATATGTATTTTATTTATTTATTTATTTATTATTATTATTTTCACATATAAGTTGATATTTAACTTAAAAAGTTAAATATTTACTTAAAAAATTTTAGTTGAATAGTTTTTACTTGTAAGTAAACTTTACAATTATAAGTTAAATTTGTACTTATAAACAATTTTACATATAATTGAATTTTTTATATATAAATATTTTTTTTTTGCATTTCATAAGTGAATTTTTGTCTTATTAGTAGTATTTTTTACTTTATAAATGGATTTTTACAGAAAAGTGATTTTTATCTTTTATTTTACTTATAAGTAATTTTTTTAGTTATAAATAATTTTTTAGTTAATGTATTTTTATTTATAAGTTGTTGAACAAAATATATTGATTGAAAACAATTATTTTATAAAGGATGAAATTACAAGAAAATATGAGAAATAGCCAAAACTCGCCAATTTGATAGGTTGAAAGAATCACTCAAAATTACACTACACCGATTTTGGAAGGTTTTTCTATTAAAAAAAAAAAACACTAACAAGTATCGTTTTTTTTTACTCTTCATTAATGGTTCCATCCAAAATAAGTCAAAATTGGTTTTGGGAGGGGGGGGGG